AGTTCAGTAATGCTTTATTGCCTGGAAGAGCTCGAAAAGTCCTGCCAACAAATGAGATAGGAACCCCGTCAGTTTGGTGTGAGCTGTTCAGACTGAAGTGGGATTGCTGTGCCTCAGGGAACAGATTGCCTTTGCAGCCTTTCACTTCTTCAGTAAGAGTGCACAGATTATCAATGAGATACGTTTCAGCATTATTAGCAAGTCCATGTCAGTTGCTGTATCACCAGAAGTCCTGCCTGCTCTATGTAAAGTATGTCTGCGCTGCGACAGACTTGATCTTTACCAGAAATAAAGCTGCTCTAATTTGTGCTGCGTCCCCACAAAGCCCATATTATCTCTGGACGGCGTCACTCTACAGCAGTGGATGATGCTAATCTTTTTAAATAGCTGAAACACATAACTCTCATACTAATCATCGTCATTTCTTGGTTTCAAGAGTTCTGAATCAACTTGCCAAAACGGTCTTGTAATCTTATAATTCAGGCATTTATATGCATTCATCTGTGCATCTCAGAGTTACCGTGAAACCAATTGTCTTTGGCTAGTCTTTTGTTATTTGCCTCGCTTTACTTGGGACTTTAATTTTTCCTTCAATAATAAAAAAATAAAAAATAAAAAATTGAAACTAAAGCATTTAAACATAGCCCAGAATGTGTTCTTAAATGCTCAGACAGTACCATGATAAGCGTGACAAAAATGTTTCTCCAAATTACGCACCATTATACGCCATGTGCATGCGTTTCTTGGAGACTTACTGGTTTGAATCTTCAGAACATGAAACGTTCACATGGGATCACCTCTGGGGAGAACAAGATCATCTCTGTTGACCTGATTTCTTTGTCATAATATTAGTATCTGGTTTAGATCCTGCTTTCGTTGATCCAATCATGAATCTGTTAGTCTAACCTTTAAAAAATGTGAGCCAGCTTTTGCACTGCCACGAAGGATGTTGTAGTAAATGTGTTAGTTGTATTGGAGGGATACAGCAGCCGTGATGGGGCAACAAATACGAGGCAAGGATTTTTGTGGGTGATATCTCTTATTGGACCAACTCTCTGGTTGGGATCAACTTGGACAAGCTTTTGAGGTCCAATCATTCTTCCTCTTGGACTCCATTTTATATTAAGCCATGCTTTGCCATAGGTAGGTAAAATGGGGCAAAGAGGCAGGCAGAGTATAGGGTCACACCGTTTGGAAGCTGCCTTGTGCCAGCCGAGGACGCAGCATGGAGGGAGGGCAACTCTGGCAAATCCCAGCCAGTTAACGGCAAGTCATGGCTCAGCCCCTGCTGCAAAGTTTCAGAGACACACAGATGAGTGTTTCCTGTGCCAGGGGTACAGGTTGTAGCCATAGGCAACTGGTGGGGGGGCATGTACCCCCCCCCCCCCCCAA